TTTCCTTTTTTTGGATTTGTATCACTTGCGCAAATAAGTGTACGCGAGAGATCTGACTGTATATAAATTTGCAGATCATTTTCCAGATATATAATACGTAGATGAATTATCTATTGCTATTAAATTTTTTTTGTTATTAACAATTTTTAAACCAGTATATAAAAGTATACAAAATACATATTAAAAATTGTTAATTTTATAAAAATTAATTATCAAGAGAGTAGATATACATGAATATAATATACGTAATATAATATGCTACGTATCGTATGTGTAATACGGTATTGTTTAATTTAATATAGACTAAATCTTGTAATGTGTCTTTAATAAAGGTAGTAATAATAGAAAATAATGTTTAAAATATATATAGAATTAAAAGTAAAACTTTATTAATAAAATAATCTGAATTTTTTAGTTAACGATCACGTTTTAACATATCAGATAAATATCACAATCAAAATTAAAATCTATAAGTATCGGGTGACAAATAGATGATCGATTCTTTTAAATACAAATTTCATTAGACGTGATATAATTCATGTAATTTTATATTGATATTAAGTCGATACCGAAAACTTTGATTTTAATTTGACAGCACTCATATTGAATGAAGTTCGCCCATATGGTTGATTTGTGTAATTTATGAAAATCATATGATAAAATTTAGATGTGACAAATCGTGTGACTGTTACGGTAAATAAAGTAATACTAATTTACAAAAAATATATTGATATGAATTCCCGTTGGTAACATGTTAAATCACGTGTATACTAAAATGAAGATATAATTAACCTTGGATGCCCATATTAGATGATTTTAACAGGAGTAAGCGGCATATGACGTAAAGAATTGAAGTACTTAGCTTTCATTAACAAATTTTCTTCGTTTATTTGGCCTTGTAATTAATAATATAACTACTCTGAAAAAAGAATTTCGATATGAGTCAGCCGCCAATTAGTAGTCAAGTCAGTCCTGAGCAAGAATCGAGCGGCCCGCAAAACATAATAACACAAGCACCCCCGGAGTCGAAGTTTTTTGTCGGTACAAAGTCCGAAGGTAATGATTTCGGTTTGTCTTAACTTGATTGTAGCGTGGCCCCAAAGCAATAGGCTTTTATCGAGACAGTTGAAATCGAGCAATTTAATAGTGTCCAAAGTAAAATAAGTTTTGGAATCTCTTTCAATATGAATTTTGTAAAACTGGGAAATCTTTGCCTTTCCGCGACCGGCAGAAGGAAAAAAAAGATAGCCAATTAGTAACTGCTTAAAAATTTTATTTTATTTCATTTTATTTTTTGCATTCGACGCCTGTGCTGCAGAAAATAAGTCTTTTCATCCAGACAAAATATTCCACTCTACTCCTTTGAAAGTATCTCATCTCAACTAGTGATATATTCATTCAATAATAATAGCAAATGCAGGTCCACCATCGCCGGTAATTCCAAAAACAACAAGCAATTCGGGAGCAACTCAGCGTCCGCCGCAACGTTCATTTTTCTCTTTGCTTTTTTGTTGCGCGTGGGGTGCCGGTGCCATAGCAAATGAGAG